TCTTCTTGGGGGTGGGGCGACTTCTTCTTAGGGGGTGGGGGCGACTTCTTCTTGGGGGGTGGGGGTGACTTCTTCTTGGCGGGTGGGGGCGACTTCTTCTTGGCGGGTGGGGGTGAGACCTTCTTAGGGGGTGGGGGTGAAACCTTCTTGCTCGGCGGGGGTTTCTTTGAGAGCGAGGGCGAGGTGGTTTTGGGGGGTGGGGGCCCTTTCTTCTGGGGGGGTGGGGGTGGCTTCCTTACCGATGGCGGGGGTGGAGAGGTCTTGGGGGGCGGCGGGCGCTTGACGGGCGGGGGCGGGCTCTTCTTCGGGCTAGGGGGTGGGGGCTTCTGCGCAGGGTTTGGGGTGGCAGCTGGCAGTGAGGGTTCGGGTGCAGGACCCGAGGATGGGGTGGGGCCGGGGCTCGGGCCAGAGGGGGTCGGCACGGCGGGGCCCGAGGCAGGTTTGGGAGGGGGGGGGGAGGGGCTAGTCTGCACCGGACAGGGAAGGGGTTAAAGGCACGAGTTCAGAATGGGCATCGGGATGGGTGCCGGCGGGGGTCCATCATTGAAGGATGGGGTCACACCACAGGGGGGGTGTCCATCAGGAGGGGGCGGGGTGCGGGCATGGCAGGCGTGGTTTTCCAGACCGGGCGTGGGTTCAGGGGGTGGGCACGGGGGCAGGGGCCTGGGACTCCCCAAAACAAAGGCAGAGGGTAGAAGCTCACCTTGGGGGGCGGGCTGGGTGGGAAGTCCGCCAGCACTGCCGCGACGGCCTTGGCCACGTTCAGCCGGCGCGCAGAGGCGACGTAGCCCTTGAGCGAGGCCAGCGTGTCGGCGTTGGCCAGCAGGTAGGCTCGGATGGCCGAGTAGGTCAGCGTCTTGCCGCGTGACAGCGCCGCGGCCTGCACCAGCGAAGCCGCCCCCGCCACAGAGGGCGTGGCCATGCTGGTGCCATACATGCGGCCGTACAAGCCGTTGTATGTCGTGCTCAGGATGTAATCGCCGGGGGCGCCGATGTGCACGCAGTCCCTGCGGGGATGGGTGCGGGTGTGGGGTTTTGGTGGATTGTCTTGGGTTGGAGGAGAGGTGGGTGGGAGGGGAAGGAGGGATGGTGCGGGTGGTTGACGCTCAGGCGAGGGCGGGGGAGGGACAATTCAAGGGCTGGGCAGGCACTCCTCTCCATCCCCCGCGCCCCTTCCCAACCCCTTCTTCTCAATCACACACCCATCCCAACCCTCCCCCCCCAAAAAACTCACGTCCCGTAGTTGCTGTAGGCGGACAGGCCATCGGACATGCTGGTGGCGGCGACGCTGATGATGTTGTCCAGGTTGTAGGAGGCTGGGTAGCGCGGGTTGGTGTTCATGTCGATGGCGCTGTTCCCCGCGGCGTTGACGAAGAGCTGGCCAGCGTCGCGCGCCTTGGCGATCTCGTCGTACAGGAAGGTGGAGTAGTCGATGCCGCCCCAGGAGTTGCTGGTGATCATCGCGCCCGCGGCGCGGCACAGCGACATACAGGTCATGGCGTCGGAGATGTACCCCGCCTCGTCATCCCAGATGAAGCGGCAGATGTAGAGCTTGGTGCGCCAGGCCACCCCCGCCACACCCAGACCGTTGTTCCCCGCCGCCGCCACGCTGCCCGCGGTGTGCGTACCGTGCCCCAGCGTGTCGTTGTAGTTGGCATAGGCGGCGGTGCCGGGGGAGGGCGGCGCCGCCCCCGTCACCTGCGGGATGGGCACCAGGTTCCACCCCCCCGCAATGTTGGCCACCAGGTCAGGGTGGTCGATGCGCGCGCCGGAGTCGATGACGCAGACCTTGACCGCGCCGGTGCCGGTGACCGAGTTCCAGGCCGTGTCGGCGGAGATGACGGGCAGGTGCCACTGCTGGGGGTACAGCGGGTCGTTGCTGGAGCGCTTCACCGTCACGCGGTAGTCGGGCTCTACCAGGGCCACGCCTGGAAAAGGAGGGTGGGGGGGTGGTGGAGGGGGGGGGAAGACGACTAATGCATGCTCAGGCATGTGTGTGTACGTGCTACACTGGGGATCATGATCCTGCAGACGAGGCATGGCGGCCGGCTGGCGGCCGGCGCCGGGGTCGCACGGCCGGCCATCGCCAATCTTTTGGGGTTTCAAGGTGGCACATGAATATGCAGCTGGGGTTCACTGCGCCGGCAGGGCTCGGCTGACACCATGCCCAGGTACAGGTTCCATTGGCCCCCTTTCCCAAAACGCTGTGCCAGGTGCACCCACTCTGGAGGGTGGAGAGCTTGGCCACCTTCTCGGCGACGGTGCTGTCGTCGATGATGTCGTACACGCCCACGGAGTCCACCGCGGACCTGGTGTACTTTAGGCCCAGTTGGTCGTCGGACATGGTGCGCACGGTGTTGTCCTTGAACTTCACCAGCACCCGGCCGGAGGCGTACGACTGCGGGGGAGGGCGAGCACCAGTGTCGGCGGTCCTGTCCCGGACGTCCGGACAGCGGGTGTGCATCCGGGAAGACTGGCGAGGGCAGGGTAGAGACTCTTAACATACCGAGACCACCGAGAAATCATTCCAACCTACCTGAGATGCAGCGAGGCTGACAGGGAGGGACAGGGCCACGAGGGCGAGCACCGCCCGGATGCTGGCTCCCAGTCTGACGGAGGAAGAGAAGCGCATGACGGACAGCCGGGCGAGCGTTCGATAACTGGGAGAGGCGCAGGTGTAAACCTGAAGTGAGATGTTGGGTGAGACATGTGGCGTTAGGGGGGGGAAAGGGCCCCGGTAAGGGTTGAGGGAGGAGGTGGCGGGAGGGGTTGGAGCATGGGATTGGGAACTTCATCCCTCGTCTTGTGAAACACAATAATGCCTCTGGAAGCCAGCGTAAAACATACATCTCACCTCTGGAACGTGAAGTCGGGGACACGACCTGGAGGAATGGGCCTTAATGGCTGATGTTTCGAGGCCTCGCGGAGGACGACACTGCACAATGAACAGCACGGACCTCAGCCGACCCTTCCTGTGAACAGGACTCAACCTTTCAATACAAAAATTTGTTGATGACCGTAATTCGCACGAGTCTATACCTTTCCCTGGATGCACACTTGCCCCTCGAGCTTTGGGGGCAGCTGCCTAGGTCCTCGGAGGAAAGAAGAGATTGGCTGCTCGAGAAGCGGGTCCCTGGTGACCGCAGCATGACCCGGAGGCCTGGCCGGGCATATTTCTGAACTCCACGTACCCCTAGCATGAGGAGTCCATGGTCGCTGCCGCAACAAAATGAGATCATCTGTCGGTTTGTGGAAGCAATCTGCTGTCGCCCAGGATGGGCTTCCTCGGATGTGTCTTTGTAGATTCTCGTAAGGGGTCGATCTTCTGCGATACACGCAATTGGAAATCCAAAGTCAGGTGCTGAGGCAATCGTCATGCCGCCTAAGATACCATTATGCATGTAGTCTTCACATCTGGTCAGACTGATGCAGGCTTTCAATCCTGCAAGCCCGCCCTGTCTCGGCCTGCTTTCGGAGGTATAGGGCGGCTTGGGGAATCAGCGTGCCACCTGAGCTCGCAAGGATCTCTGAGGTACGTCATCTTCGATCATTCGAGGCGCAGTCGAATGCTCGCTTTCCTCTATGGTCACATTGAGGGAGGGGATAAAGGCTCACTGGACATCAAGTTGTACAACAACCCGCCACTGCTCCAATCCCAGCGGGACGAAAAGGGCATATGGAGCCATCAAGGAAAAACAACACGCGTTGGACAGTCGGTGCTGTGATAACCAGACGGGTGTCTGCTGGTCCCAGGTCTCCTTGATAGACAGGGCAATCGAACGCTTTGTGGTTTGCATTCGCGCCCTGAGGTTGCGGGACCGTCCTAAGGGAGCAGGAGCGATGCAGATTCACTGACATTTACATGCACATGTATATATGTTGGACCTCAAAGAGTTCATTACATTGGAGGAGTATATTGTCCTGATAAACGCGATCCTTTGAGCTTGAGCTGGTAAATTTGCGGGGTGAGAGCGGACTGTGAGTGTCCAAGTGAGTGCAGGCCCCTCTACACACAAGCGAAGCCCCCGGTGGCACTCCCGAAAACAATATACTCGCGATGGGAAAGGCGAGGGCGTCTATAAGGTTGACAACGGTAAGTTCACAAATGGGAGAGCAGCTTCGCTTTCTGAAGGACAGTGCAATGGTGAGCCGACTCGGTCGCAAATGATTGGTGACATGTATCAGCTCAGGCTTCCGCGACATTGCAGAGCGATAAGACGCCGAGAGCAGCTTCTTCTGGTTCGGCCGTACCTGCACATGTGCAGCGCAAAGTCAACAAGAAAGTATCTTTCCTCAAGAGTATGTAGAGCTCGGAGGGTGTGGGCAATGGTGTGCAGATCTCCTTGGGTTGGTGTGAAACTTGTTGATGCATGTCATACTATTAAGAAGCCGCTAATGCATGCTACCAATGACTGCAAGGGAGACTGAGACCTACCTTTAATCCCACTTCTGCCCTCACCACAGAGTTAAGCACCGCAGCAGCCGCAAAGCAGCTTAAACCCACCTCGTCGGGTGTCAAGGTTCGTGGGGGAGAGACGGTGGCAAGCAATCCTGATGCCAGCCAAAGTTGCAATCCCAACCATAAGGGGCAGGTTCTGTGCTGACAAAGGGCAGTCCACATGACATGCTCACAGCCCCAGCAGGGATGATCCTGGCATGACCAGTTCACCTCCGCACCGGCCACCCTTCCACCTGCTCCACACTGGTTGTTAACAGAAGCGGCGGCGGCCCTCTGTGGCACTCTCAAACTATTCGGCGCTCGCAGAGGCCCTGGGCGCCGACCCCTCGCCCTCCTCGCGGTCAGGGTCTGGCCCAAGGCAGCGAGGAAAGGGCGTCAAGACACTGAAGACCAGAGCAGCCTTGGGGTGCGCAGGCGGTTGTTCTCAACATCATCAATGTGCTCAGTGGAGTTGCTTGTCTGGGGCATGCTCTCCAGAGTACCTGGTTGCTGAGGCCACTGTGTAGACCCACCCTCTCCCCCACCCCTCTGACTCTCAGGAAATCGGAGGCAGAGCGATTGAAGAGTGTGCTGAGCAACCCTGTATTCCAGGCAGACCCCCTGGCAGCAGTGAGGAGTCATCTGGAGGCCACGCTCCCGAGCGCCCCCCCTCCCGCAGCGCCCACGATTCCCCCCGCCCAACGGCGCAAGGAGAAGAAGGCGCGGCGGAAGCAGAGGGGCAGCATGGAGGAAGATTAGGAGGAGGCGCGTCCCGCCCATCGTGTGCTTGCATTCACAAGAGCTTGGGAAATGGGACATTCTCTTTGCACCACAGCGAGGCAAGCCAAGAGGATGAGGGCGGGAGGAGGGCTGGTACTTGTCCGACAGATTCATTTCCTGAGCCTCACATCAGGTATACTCTCACACAGAAGCACGTGCAGAGACGCTGCAAGCGTGCCTGTAGTATCCGGCTCGGTATGGGTCCAACCCTTCCAGATCCTCCCACGCCGCCGCGGCCGCCACGCAGTCCGCGGCCTCGCCCCCACTCCCTCGCCCGGCGCTGCCCCCCGCCGCCCCTCCCACCCTCTGCATCAAGCCCAGGAGGTGGGCCCGGGTCTTCCTCGCCCACACGCTGCCGGGCTCCAGGTCCAGGAGGTCACTCACGAGCGCCAGCTGGCACCCCAGCACATCTGCCAGCCTGGCGCGCTCCGCTTCAGACTCGGGGGCGGCCTGCCAGTGCGCCACGGAGCACCCTGTGTGGTGTGATGGAAGAAGGTGCTGCAGGCGCCAATGTGCATGTCCTGGGCAAGTGCAGGAGGCAACCAGCAGTGTCCCTGAATATCATGGGAGTACCTTTGCAGTCTCGTGCCACACACAACCCTGCCTACTGGGCCTCCCCTCCGCCTCACCCAGCAGCCACCGATGGTAGATCCAGCCGCTCTGGTCCTCGGGCTCAGTGAAGAACGCCTGGCTGACCAGCTCATACTCGATCTCCAGCGTCTGGTGGAGCACCAGGGCACCTGTGGCTCCTGCGCGGCTGCTGCTGATCATGGCCTGGCGTTCTGCGGCTGCAGAGGGACTGTCGTCGGCAGCAGCAGGCACACCTGCCCTTTAATCATTTTAAAAGGGGGGAGGTTGAGCAGGTCATCGAGGCGGCGTGATGCTTAGACACCATCCTCAGGTCCTGCCGCGCCGCTTGGCCGCTGCTGCCAGAGAGCAGGCATCCACCCCTCTCGCCCACCGTCTGCCCCCCAGCATTTGGCTCCAGGCCAACCTCATTGCGTCCAACACCTCACCTGGCTCAGAGTGCAGCAAGGGGAGAAGTTTGGAGCGGTAGTGCCACGCAGAGTAGTTTGAAAAGTTGTGCTGGATCTTCCTTGTGGTGTACTCCAGCTCCCTCTGCACCGGCATGCCCATCAACTGTAGACAGGGTAGGGAGTGGTGGGCTGATGACGAGGAGTTGGGAAGGTGGGGCAAGGAAATGTGAGCAGGGGTGAAACTGAGCAGGATGGATGCTGCAGCCTCCTACAAGGCCCTCTGTGAACATGGGTGCAGGGCCTGGTCCTCCAATTGAAGCCAGGGTAGGGACAGCGCATCAACTGTGTCTCATCAGCTGCCTGAGTGAGCAGCCCTCGTGCTTCCCCCCTGCACCATCGGTGCTCTCCCAGGACCCCAGAGTCTCGCAGTCTCTGCCACCCCCCATCCCCAAGACCCAGCACCCCCTACATCGGCCACAAAGCGCCGATATGCCCAGCCATGAAAGTTTCTGTCGTCTGCATCCAGGAGCGTCTCCACCAGCGTGATTTCAGCCTCCAGTGACGTCAGCCGGTGCCCGATCACCCACTTGCGGTGGTGCCAGGCCGAGTACGATTTCAGATTGCGGGTGAGTGCCCGCAGCGTGAGCGCCAGCTCCTCCGCTGCCGCCTGCATGGCCTGCTGACCTGTTTGTGGAAATGTCATAGGTTGGCCTGGAGCCAGCCAACTCACGGCACTCCAGAATGCTCTGTGTTTGTGAAGACACCCACCGCTCAAGATCAATGTGATATCATTGTCGCTGCCTGGTCCTCAAACCAGAAGACCCACCTCCCTCCTTAAACACTGGGACGAGGGCCTCTCTCCTGTGGTTCCAGGCCGTGTACATCTCCGGGTTGAGCTCCAGGAGCCTGGCTGTCAACTGCAGCTCTGCCGGACCTGCCGGCCCAGCCGATCTGGCCTGGAGCACAGCAGCATTAAGACGCCCCAGAAGCTCAGCCTGCGGAGCAATACACGATGGAAATTTATGGATCACAAAATATTGAGCAATCGATTAGTGAGTCATTTGCTGCATTCAACGGTACAGTCTTTCCCATACCTTCTGGGCCGTGGCCTTCACCCGCTCGGGATCGGGTGGCCCCTTTGCGCGTGGCCTGCCGTGCATAATTCAATAACGCTAGTCTGAGTAAGTAATTTTGGGCGAGCTATTGTGCGGGATCCCAGCCCACATCGTCGATTGTCATGTTTGAGATTTGAGCTCCTTGTCATCGAGCGCGCTGTCAGTGCAGAGTTCGCGCTCGGAGTGGGGCCGAATGCCTAGCACCGATCTGCCACATGCTGAGTGACGTTACATCCTGAATCATCCCAGTCAGCCTCCTAGATAAGAACAACGAGAGGAAGGGTGACGCGGTATCAAAGGCCTGGCACCCGGACCAGCCACTTGATCCCCCGTCCTGGTGACAGTGCGGTGCCATGTATGGAGGAGGTGAGAGGTGCTGGTATGTGGACGCATGCACATGTACATCATTGGATTGCTCAGCCTGATCGCTGGGATGCCGTCCTGTCAATCCCAGATGAGGTGAATGCCGTGGTGGTGGACCTGGGGTCCTTCACTGTGAAAGTGGGCTATGCTGGAGAGGACACCCCCAAGCACGTCTTCCCCTCGGTGAGACACGTTGTCGAGAATGTTTGTATCATGTTACCCTTGTTGCCGAAAGCCCGAGGCCTCGTGAGTGGGGTACTGAACAGGTCATTGCCCGTGTTGTGCCCCCCCAACACCCAGCTCACCCTTGCCGGCATTGATCCAAAATCACAGGCCCTTGGCAGCATTGACTCCCCTCCCAATGGCGATGCCATGGAGGTGGATGGTGTCGGCCCGTCTGGGAGGACCTTCAAAGTGGGCACAGCCAGCCTTGCCGTGCCCCAAGATGGGCTGGAGGTGGGCATAGAGGGCCAACACTCTTGAGGTTGGGTGGCACCATGCAGGGAACGAGAGAGGAAGCTCATTGCTAGCACTTGGGATTGAAAAATGCACACTACCTGCTTGCAGGTGATTTCCCCATTCTCTGAGGCTGGAGTCCTGGAGGACTGGGACGCCCTTGAAGCACTCTACAACCATGCCTTCAAGTGAGTTTCACGGCCCTGCCAAGCTGGGCTGGAGAATTTGAATGGCAGGGCATGAACTTGGCGAGGAGTCCCGGACCTCTTTTGGATGACATGGTCTCAGACTGTCGGTGGCGGCGCATCACCCAGCCCCGCAGGACTGCCTGCCTTGTCATCATTCCCCCACCATGTCACCACAGGGATCAGCTGCGGCTCGACCTCAAGGAGCATCCGCTCATGCTGGGAGAGCCCTCAAACACACCCCGCCCAGTTCGGGAAAAGCAAGTGGAGCTGCTGTTTGAGAGATACGACACGCCTGGTGGGTTACCCTGGGTGGGGGACCGTGCCAGATGCCGAGCAGAGAGGGGTGGGGGAGGATGCCACCTACCCACCAACCCAGGTGAAAGGGCTTGAGCGTCGACATCATAGAGTTCACCTGCAGAGGTGCCCTTGGCTATCGGCAAGTGCACCAGGGCACTGCCGACCAAGTAGAGGCCGCAGCTCTCGCTGCACATTCGCCCCGCCCGGCACCGTGCTGTAAATCTCACCCGCCTCCCCGAAACCCCCCAATGCAGCCGTCTTCCTGGCGAAAAACGCGGTGCTGAGTGCCTTCTCGACGGGGCGACAGACGGCGCTCGTCGTGGACGCCGGACACGCCCAGACGATGGGTGCGTGGCTGTTTTCTTTGGTATGGAGGCATGGATGGGTGGGCAAGGCAGGGCTGCGGGCAAACCTTCCCAGGCGCCGCCGTGGCCCACATCCCATCAGTACACTGTGGACTGGGCGGCGGCGGCAGCACTTTCCCACGGCTTTTACACGGACTGGACGGCCAGGCACCATGGTGCATCGGCAGGCGCAACGGTGGCCAGGCAGGGGGTGAGCTGCTCAGATGAGCAGCTTCTCGATGGCCAGCTTCAGCTGCTGCACCTGGTTCTTCAGCTGGCTCCCCTCGTTGGAGGTGACGCTGGCGGCGATGACGGGGCGGGAGACGCCGCAGGCACGCCCCAGGGCGGCCTTGGAGGCGACGAAGACGTAGGGCACGTTCTTGTCCTCGGCCAGCAGGGGCAGGTGAAGCAGGATCTCGATGGGCTCCGTGTCGGCGGCCATGACGATCACCTCGGACACGCCGCGGTTCAGGGTCTTGGTGGCCTCGTTGGCGCCCTTCTTCAGCTGCTTGTAGTTGGTGGCCTGCTGGACGATCTCCAGGATGGTCTGGGTCAGCTGCGGAGGTGGGATGGGTGGGAAGGTTTGCTTCAGCTGCACATATTTCTCCTGATTCCGGTCATGTTTTGCATGCATGCATGCCGTGGGGCGAGTTTTCGGGCTCCCACCGCCCCGTACTTGTGCATCCGCCAGCGGGTACGCCTTGGGGTTCACAGCCTCACTCATGGTGGATCCTTGGCTGATCACAACCCGTTTCCTCGGGGTTTAGCGTTCGAACGTGTGGACAAGGCAGCGGGCCTGGGGAGTGGCCGCGCTCTTACTTCGGGCCGAGGCGGGCGCGCGATTCCCGCCAAAACTTTCAGGGGCCTCAATCCACGTCAGCACGAGCAATCCTCATTCCCCTGACCTTAAGTCCAGCTCCAACTGCAGCTCTGCCCGCGCTTTGTCGTGCATTCAACCTTCTGATAGCCACCAAGGCCTGATTGTCTTCCTCTGCGCAAACCCATCCCCCTTCCACGCCTGCTCCTTTTCCCCGCAGTGGCGGCCGTGCATGACGGGTATGTGCTCCAGAAGTCGGTGATCCGGAGTCCCCTGGGCGGAGCCCTGCTGACGCGGTGCCTCATGCACTCTGTCCAGTCCGGCGGCACGCGCATCCACCCTCGCTTCGACTTCCAGAGGGTCGAGACCGTGCCCGGCCAGTTTGAGGTGGGCGGGCATGGGCCGGTGGCGGAGGTTTGAGTTCTGACCTGGCCGAGGCTATGATGGCAATGGCAGGTGGAGGGACTGCGTCGACAACGGTGCCGTGATGGATCTGGCTACCCTGTTTGGCCCGGGCGGCCGTCATTCCACCCTGCAATCTTTCCCCCTCCAGCAGCCGTGACGCTCACGCTGGCTCCCTGTTACCCCTCCCTTCCTTCCCCCCCTGCAGGTCAAGTACGAGGCCAGGAAGTACCGCGGGCCGGATGGCGAGCTGCACGCCGTGACGGCCACCGACTCCTACCGCCGCCACACCGTGCTGTCCATCGCGCAGGACCTGAAGGACGCGGTGTGCCGCGTCTCCGACGGCCCCTTTGACCCCGAGGAGAACGCCAACATCCCCCAGGTCACCTACGAGCTGCCCGACGGGCAGGAGATCCAGGTGGGCGCCGACCGCTTCGCCGTGCCGGAGGCGCTGTTCAACCCCGGCCTGCTCGCCAGGTACGGCGCGGAGGGTGCGCCGGACGACGCCGCGCCGGCCCCCGCCCCCCTTCAGGCGGCGGTGAATGAGTGCGTGGCGCGCTGCGACGTGGACGCGCGGCGCGAGCTCTACGCCAACGCGCTGCTGACCGGGGGGACCGCGGGTTTCGCCTCGCTGCGGGAGCGCCTGGAGCGCGAGGTGACCGAGGCAGCGCCCGCCCTGGCCCGCGTCAAGGTGCGGGGAGGGGGGAAAGGCGCCTCTGTGAGCCCTTGCAGCAGCGGTCTGGGCTGGCGAGGCGACTCTGGCCGGGCCGGTGAGCTCGCATGACCATCTGATCGCAGGCCGCTCACCCCCACACCTCACTCCTCCTCCCACCAACAGCTGGTGTCACCCAGCAACCCCGTGGAGCGGCGCTACAGCGTGTGGATTGGGGGCTCGGTGCTGGCCAGCCTGGGGTCCTTCCAGCAGATGTGGATGTCCAAGGCCGAGTACGCGGAGTATGGCCCGGGCCTCATCCACAAGAAGGCGCCGTGAGGGGGTGGGGGTGGGGTGCGGGGCGGTGGGGGTGCCCAGGCGCGGAGGTGGGAACCCCAGGCGTGGGACCTGAGCACGATGACGCGCCGATAGTGCCAACCCCCTTGCGACTTCTGAGAATACATGTGAGGCAGAGCGCGTGTCGCGCTGGCAGCAACAATGAGGCACACCATTATTTCAACGAGGGCTGGCAGGGGTGCAAGCACCAGCAAAGAAAAGGGTCTGAGAAGGTGTGCAAAGCGTCATATGGGGAGGGGAAGAGTTTGTGGCAACGAGAACAGATGCATGTACATGTGATGCATGCCGGGGCTGGTGCAGTTGCGAGGGCCTGTTGCAGCCCCACACCCCCCACCCAGCCTACCAGGGGATATCGGTCTTGTCCCAGGCGATGAAGCGGCCGTTGTCCTGCATGCCCGCCCCCCTCACGATGTCCAGCAGCTGGCGCACGGCGCGCTCCCTGGTGAACAGCTTGTCGTCACGGATGTTGCCCTGGTAGGGTGCCGACAGGTCGGTGTCCACCGTGCCCGGGTGCAGGAGGAGGCAGGCCACCCCCATCTTCTTCCGCTCCGACTCCAGCCCCGCGCAGCGCACCAGCTGGTTCAGGGCTGCCTTGCTGGCGCGGTACGAGTACCAGCCCCCCAGCTTGTTGTCGGAGATGGAGCCCACGCGGGCGCTAAGGAAAGCCAGCTTGGCGGGGATCCTGCGTGGTTGGGTCGGTGGTTTGGGGGAGGGAGGGGTGGATCTACTGAGGGGAGATGCCAGCGCTTCGTCCAACAGTCAGCTTGGACGATGGAGCGTCGACTCTGTGGAATGTATGACATTGTGATCCCCCTCCATGCCCGCCCGCCACTCGGACGCACTCGTTGTCCTTGCCGAAGCGGCTCAGCAAGGGCATGAAGGTCCTGGCCACCAGGATGGGTCCGATGGTGTTCACCGCAAAGCTCTGCTGCAGATTGGCCGACGAAATGCCCCGCAGGGAGCGCTCCGGTTTCAGTCCTGTTGCCTGGTCCTGCAGCACGCCCGCCACGTTTATCAGAGTACTCAAGCAGGGAGTCACGGCGGACACCTCCTTGGCGGCCTCCTGCGACAGGGGAAAGGGGATTGGTCGGTGTGGGTGGAGGCCGCTGCTCCGTCATGCTCTGGGCATGCCCCTGTGCGCAGAACAGGCCAGGAGCGCTGCACTTGTTGTCTACGCCCAGCGAGAGAGACCCAGACCCAGCTCTTGGCCTCCCCCCTTCATACCCCACCTCGATGCTAGATTCATCAGTGGCATCCAATTTTATGACGTGCAGGCGGTCTCCATGCTCCTTTTGCAGGGCCTGGAGGTCTGTGGCAGCTGCAGGGGAGCGGCAGGTGGCGAACACGGTGCCCTTGGCGTCATCTGTCAGGAGCTGCCTCACGAACTCCAGCCCCATCCCTCGACTGGCTCCTTGAATGAGGTACGAGGAAGGAGTCTCGGCCCCGCCGGACGACTGGGCCTGTGTCGCGAGGCAGCGGACCAGGGTGGGAGCCTGGTGCAGGCGGCCAGTCAGGGCCAGCCTCGTCGCCATCGAGATGGAGCGCATGTGAACGAGGGACATCGCGCACGATCAATGGGTTTGGAGGCGCTTATGGTCAAGACATTTTCATATATATACTGCTCTCCTGCAGGTGGTGGACCGTATTGTGCGGTGGGATGGACACCGCACATCGAAAGGTGGAAATTTTGTGATGAAGTCCCCACGTGGTAGACTTCCCGCCCGGAAGTGATCTCACTCTGACAGCCATGCAGATGTCTCCAACACGGTTGCAAACGCTCCGTCACGCCATGATGCAGCCATCGGGATCGGCCCATACTGCAAAGAGCGTGCGAAGGCTCAGGGCGCGGACCACGCGCCACGGCCAGCCGGGCATGGCGGCCGAGAGGCACGAAGAAGCTGTCCCGCAGCTGGAGCGTGTAGAGGGAGCACTTCCGGAACGGGTGCGAGTTCCAACCAAAAGACAACAGCCGCCCCCAAGCGGCTCTAAAACCTCGCAGTAAAATTTGCTGTAACTCGAAAGTGTTGCTGACATCACATCAGGACAAATCGTCTCGCTCCCACCCCGCCGCGCCGGGACTCTTGACCCCAGCCTGTCCGGGCACCTGCTCACCGGTGTTCGCCATGGTGGAGACCCGTTCCACCACCCACGACCTGGGTGGCTCCCCCTCCAAGCTCCAGGAGCAGCATCAGAGCACATGGATCCGTGAGAAGGGCGGCCTCAAGGGCGCCAAGACCCAGGCCAGGAGCCGTGAGTTCCGGCACTGGGAGGAGGGTGTTGTCCTGTCAAAGGCCGTGGCCGGGGGGCGGCTCTGGCCCGGGAACGTATCGAGCCCCTCCTCTCTCACCCATCCGCATGCCAATGCACGACCCTCTGCATCGCTCACGGACGTTGTTAACGCCCCCCTTTCCTCCCAAACCTCCAGTCGCGCAAGGCGGGCTGTCTGTCCCGCAGCTGTACGTGCTGCTGGGCCTGGCCTATGCCCTCCTCTCCCTCCCCCTCATGTTCGGCCCCCGCACCACCGCTCACTGGCTCTACGGCAGCGCGGCGCGGCCGGTGGAGGACCAGCACGGCCACACGCTGGGCCTGGTGGCCACGACCCTGGTCACCATCGTCTCCGCCGCCTTTGCCCTCGAGGTGAGGGGTCCGAGGGCCGTATCAACAGGGTCGTCAGCCTCCTAGCCTGCGCCCTGCCATTCCTGTGTCACTGGCTCGGCCCTGGATCCATCTGATGAAGTGCAGAGAGGATATCCAGCGCCGCAGCGAGCGCCAACCTGCAGCACCCCTCATCCCGAACCCCACCTTGGACTCCTCACTCCCCGGACCCTCCCACAGGAGGCGTCGCGCAAGCACACCAAGCGCTCGGCGGGGCCAGATGTGCTGCGCACCGGCCTGGCGGCTTACGCCCTGCTCTCCTTGGCCACCCACTTCTTCTACCCCGCCACGCTGAGCCCGCTGGCCGCCGTGCTGGTGCTCCTCACCCACGGCACCACCCTGGTCCTGCTGGCCAGCCAGGCCCGTGTGTCGCCCCCCGACAGCGCGCAGCGCGGGGCCCAGACGGTGGCGGACGGCGCGCGCGCCGCGCTGCGCCTGCCCCACGGCAGCATCCTCGGCCGCCTCTACCTGCTCCTCTCCCTCGCTGCCCCGGCCCTGGGTGCACTGGTGGTGCTGGTGCCCCAGACCTCCCTCTATCACACCCTGGGCTATGTCTACGGCGCCTCTACCCTGCTCCCCTGGAAGCTGTTTGGCGTGGGCATGCTCACCATCGCACCCGCCGTCACCCTCACCCTCAAGGTCGGTAGGGAGAGGTGGTTTGGGAGTGGCTGTGTGTCGTGTGACTGTCAGCAGCAAGTGCGGCATGGCAGGGAGGGTGGGTGGGCAGGCGGTGGTGCAGTGATTGCATGGCGTGCGGAGACCCGGACCTCGCCCCAGAAAGGCGCCCTCGCCGCGCTTTCCTCTCCGCCGCCTGGCGCTGTGGCGCTCTGGGCGTGCTCTGGGATGCTTCAGTCACAAACATCCCCTCCTCCTGCATCGCATGGATCCGCTGCGGCTCCCGTCTGCAACCTCCTCACCCCCCTCCCACACCCAGGACAAGGCTGAGGCGGGACTGCTGAGCCGCAGCATCCCGCGCACGCTCAACGCCGGCCTGCTGGGCGCCTCCCTGGGCCACCTCCTCATCTTCGGCCCCATCCTGGCCCAGGCGCACGGCGGCGCCCTGCTCCCCTTCATCGTGCTGGGGGCCACGCTGGCCACCCTGACTGCCATCCTGGGCTTCACCGCCCCCGAGCTGGAGGAGCTGGCGGAGGCCGCCCTGGCCGAGCCCGAGACGGAGGAGGCGGTGCACAACCCCAAGATCTGAGACCGCGGAGGGCCGCCGCAGCGAGCACCGCCCGCGTCGGAGGCCTGGAAAGGCCACGCGCCCCTGTACTGACCCCCGCGCCACGCTTTGAGTTTCCAGCCCGTGAATGGAAAGCCGCTTGCGGATGAAGGGGAGGGGTTGGTCTCAGTGCGGATGACGGGGTGTGGGAATTCTGAAGGGGGAAGTTTACAATGTGAGTGGCACTGCTGTATCTGGGAGAGGCCTGGTATCCTGCTGCGCACTCATGGGTGCTGAGCAGGGCCCTGCTGATCCCTTGCCCGAGCCAAGTCATACATCGACCATTCAAGCAATGGGTGGGATACATTGCAACCTCATCATCACTGCACACACCAATTTGAGTACACATGCAAGCTGGCATGGAAGCTCAGTGACCGGATCTCCGTCTGAATTTGATTCGTGGGAAGGGGACTCTCCATGATGGTTGCCCGATGTGTCCAATTAGGGACAATGTGAGTTGCCCAGTTTGTTGGCACTCGGGGTAATCCCAGTTCGTCTGCGTCCACATAGACCTTCCACTTTCCGTCATGCAGCTTCAAGTGCTACAGTATAATGTGGCGCCGAGTGCTTTTCATGGATATCACTGATTGCTAGACTCACCAGCACCCAAAGGTCTTCATCCAAGCTGAAGTCACTGGCCAATTGCATGCCATTCGTTGCACCCATCCCTGTGTGAACCGGTTGAAAATCCTGATGGCTTCCCTCTCAGCATCTTGGCCCATCTCGTTACAGTTTTCCAGATCCAGACAATGCACAGCTGGGCCCCTTGAAGGACGACGCTATTCTGTAGCGTATAAACAAAAAGTCCAGATCTGCGCGACTCCGAAGTACAAAAGTTGGCAAAAGCCCCACAGCAACTAAATCATTCGGTTCTATTTTAGACGAATTACAGCCGCGTCGGGCAGACCTCGCAGAAGAACACCATGCGTCGGCACCAACCGAGGGTCTCGCTGAATAATCAGTATATAATCTACGTTTATTACATTACTATCATTCATCGGAGTATTCCGACTTTCTTAAATGCCATCTACTGGGGGAACCCGCACAGGTTCGAATCCTGTCGGCCGCGATCTCGATCTGCGGCTGTGGCCGAGCGGTTAAGGCGGTAGACTAGAATGTTCCTCTTTTGCCACATTTTCAGTCCCTGTTTTACTCCATAAGCAGCTTCCATCACGATTCATCTTTCCTTGAGGCTGCAGACTGTCTATGAGACCTACTGGTGTTTTCTGTTTCTAGAACTTCCAGCCACCTCGATGCCTTGTTCAAGATTGCACATCGGCAGTGTGAGTTGTTGTGGAAGTCCTCAGTCTCCCGGGGCGTGACTTGCATGCCCCGCACTCAATTTTCGAGCGTTGTGCTCTGGTAACAGGAGCTCGTGAGCGAGGAGCAACAAAGTGGCCAGGAGAAGGGACAGGTAACCCTACTCAAGGCGCCGCTGCTCAATTCAAAGCAACCCCGAACACACATGGTGAGCTCTTATCGTCAACAAATTGAATCCATGTGGTCTCCCTGTCAAGCAGCTGAGCCTGTGGTTTTTGAATGATACTCAGGTTCTGGCAATGCGCTGTGGGAACAAGACCCAGGGGCGCTTGCGCCTGAGCAGGTGACTGTCCGCATCCAGTGATCAAGGGCACATCGCAGCGTTGATAGCTCGGGCTTGTATTTTGTTCCTCCACCCATTCGCAGCAACTCACTTTTCAGATCAGTGTAAACCTACCTAAACGTGATAAAAGCAAGCCTTAAATCCATCACCCCGGGCCACCCTGGGAGCATGGACTGCAGTGGTGAGCACAACCCCTCCTCCACGTCACCTCCCCACACCGGGACAACTATAGTGGCAGTGACCTACGCGGGAGGGGTGGTCATCGGTGCCGACTCCCGTGTGAGCACCGGAAACTACATCAGCAACAGGGCCTCCGACAAGATCACACCGCTGACGGACAGGGTGTACCTCCTTCGCTCAGGCTCGGCGTCCGACACCCAGGCCGTCTCCGACTATGGTGAGGGTATAGGCTTACACTTGCAGTTTCTCCGATCCTTAAGCGCATCCGCACCCTAATCGTTACGCCCCGGCCCCCCCCCGGCCAAACTCGTCCTCCTTGTCCACCCCCGCAGTGCGCTACTTCACCGAGCAGCACGAGTCCCAGCTGCAACGGCCAGCTCTGGTCAAGACCGTGGCTGGCATGATCAGATCGGTGAGTGAGTGCCTGAAGAGCGGGGGGCCTGGGCAGCCCTGTCATCCCATGAGGCGAACATGCATCGATGTCCCCCCTCGATCAGCCCGCGCCTGTGGCCCCTCACCCCCACGCCCCACCCAACACACCGGTACCAGATGAACTACCAGTACAAGCACCTGGTGGGCGCGATGATCGTGGCGGGGTGGGACGCGGCCGGCGGGCCTCAGGTGTATGGCTGCCCCATCGGCGGCACCCTGTCCAAGGAATCCTGGACCACTGACGGCTCCGGCAGCACCTACATCTGGGGCTACCTGGACGAAGAGTTCAGGTGCGTAGTGCGACCGGGGAGAGGTCGGGATGCGATCCCCCGGCCAGGGGACTGCTGATGACGGCAGAGGGTGCCAGAGGAATGCTTCGGGGAGAGCCAGCCACCCCTGCCCCGGCAAGACAGTCGATGACCTTGCGCCGCCCACCTCGCGAAATGGTGCGCCTGCGCCGCCTCCGTTGCAGGGAGGGTATGACGCGGAGTGAGGCAGAGGACCTCGTGGCCACTGCGCTGGAGCTGGCCATGGCCCGCGATGGATCCTCGGGCGGCGTGGTGCGACTGGTCACCATCACCGAGAAGGGGGCGGAGAGGAGGTGCGTGGCAGTGTGAGGGGTTGGGGAAGGAAGGTACGTCGTGGTCATGGGCGGAGGGGTGATGTGGAGGTGAAGCGAGGTTGGGATGCAGGGTCAAGCAGGATGGAATGGGGGACTGGAGTCCGCCCTGAGCATGCCTGGCCCATGGGAGAGAGCCTCGGCGTCTCGCCGCCCCCTATGCTGAAGGACCTTCACCATCAGCCACATTCAATGCGTGATGGTCGCAGACTGATCAAGCCGGAGGAGCACCCTGTGCTCTGGGACGAGCTACCGACGCCTCTGGGCGTGGTGGTCTGAGCAGCTGCAGTGTGAAGCCATGGGGTGACTGAACGTGGGCTTGTCATTCTGAGCATCGATGTGAGGATGCCAGAAGAGTGAGGGACTCAGCGATGTACAAAATACAAGCTGCTCTATGCAGCAGCCGATTAGAGGGCTCCCAAGATGAGATTTTCGCGCCCGCTCCGGGGTTGGTGCCCAGCACCACGAGAGTCGCGTCGGGCCACGCCGTGGCGACACTTCTTCGCTGCCTCTAAAGAACGAAAGCTGTAACGAAACTCGAGAGGGAGGCGCAGTGCACGATGGTGCGGAAGAGGAGGCGGCAGGAGGAGGATGTCAAGCCTTGGTGCTTTTACTGCGACCGGGAGTTCCAGGTGAGCTCGCAGGGAGGCCGTGATTGACGCCGCATTGGGATCTCGAGAAGTGCGTTGCCAGTCATGCTCATGACCCCGGCTTCCACCCCACCACGCCGCACACGTTCCGCAGGACGAGGCCACCCTCATCACTCACCAGAAGAGCAAGCACTTCAAGTGCGAGACATGTCACAAGCGTCTGGTGACGGTTCGGGCGCTCGCCGTGCACTCCTTGCAGGTGATGAAGCCGTGGCAAGGGGGGGGTTGTCAGGGAGTGACTGTGGAGGGGTTGGGGGTCAAGCTGGAGCCCTGCTGCTCGCCGTGCTCCCCTGTCAATGCCAGCACCGCAATGGCAGACCTCCTCCGTGCCCCCCTATAGGTCCACAAGCACCCTGTCACGGCCGTGCCTGACGCCCTGCCCGGGCGAGAGAGCCTGGAGTTTGACGTCTTTGGCATGTCTGGCGTGCCGGCGGGCATGCAGCGAGGCGGCCCCATCCCCGCCGCCCCCGCGCCTGCGGAGGCCGCCCCGGACCCCGGCGTGGGCGGGTACGGGCCCCCCAGCCTCGCCCCGCCGGGCATGGCGCCGCCCGTCGGTCGCGCGGCGGGCGGGCCCCTGCCGGCTTACGGCGCGTACCCGGGCATGCGCCCCGGCGGGCACTACCCGGGGCAGCAGCAAGGCTACGGGCCCCCGCCGCCCATGGCCCCAGCGCCGGCCGCGCCCTACGCGCCCGCGCCCTACGCGCACTACCCCGCGGCGGCCCCGCCCCCGGCGCACGCGTACGGGGTGTATCCCCCGGGCCGGGGCCCACCGCCCGGCGTGGGCGCATACCCGGCCGCCGCCCCGGCGGCAGGGCCGCCGGGCGCCGCGCCGCACGCCCAGGCGCCGCCCCCCGGCGCACGACCCCTCTTCCCCGCCGCCGCTGCGAGCCAGCCCCTCGGCAACGGGACAGTTCCCGCCGCCGCCGCCGCGGGGCCTGGGTCTGCTGCACCCGGCGCCCCGCCTGCCGGGCCGCCCCCAGACATGGGCATGGTGTGGGGCGAGGAGGGCGTGAGCATGGAGGAGCGCCGCGCCGCGTTGCCAAAGCACGCCGCCCTGGCGGCGGGGAGCTGCGTCGAGGCGCTGGTGAGTGCCTGGTCTGTGGGGCGCAGTGTGTGCATGGCTGGCTGGCGGGGTGGGGGACAGGGAACTGAGGGTGGGGGACAGGGAACTGAGGGTGGGGAGTGGACGCGTTGGATGGCGCCGCGGACCGGCACCGCGATACCCGGCGTGCTGTGCTCTCAGTAGGTTTCCCTGGATTCATGACCTGTATACTTGACCAGACGCCACCCGAACATTGGAAGCAATCTCTCCATCGCCCTGCAGAAAGCGAGGGACGAGGCGGCGGGTATGTCCCAGTCCGCGCAGACTCTCGCAGGGCCGGGCCCGGGCCCTGGGTCCCAACCCCCGCCGGCCCCCGGCCCACCCGGGGTCCTAGTAGCGCAGCCCCAGCCGCCGCAGGGGGCTTACCCCTACCCGCCAGCCCGCCCTCCCCCACCGGGGTATGGGCATGGCTGGCCGCAGCCCCTGCAGCAGTATCCCCCGCCTGCGTATGGGTACGGCCGAGGGCCGGCAAACGGGCCGCCGCCGTCCAGGCCGCCCTACCCCCAGGCGCCGCCGCCGCCGTACAGGCACTGAGGCGGGGGGAGGGGGGTGCTGCTGCCCTTGCCTGCGACGCTATTCTGGCCCACACCGGGTGAGAGGGGAGTGAGCCTCACCAGACCACAAACTACCTTCTAGGCCTGGAGTGTGTGCAAGGAGCCCTGTGTGTACAAGCATGACACCCAGAATGTACCTAGGAAGGCAGTGGGCGGGTGTGATGATGTGGTCCAAGGGCTGCTCCTCGAGGCGCAGGCACGCCGATGCCTGCATGCTGCCGCAGTTGAGCTGCGCTAAACCCAGCAGGGCAGGCACCAGCTACACCCAGGGAGCCACTGGGGGCATTGCATCTGCGTGTAGGAGTGCTGTATTTCATTTGGAAAGGTGTGATGTGTCGCTGGTGCTGACATACTGGTTTGCTATTGCTGGTGTTCAAGCTTGCACAAGCCCCAAAGCGTGCCTTTCTAATAGCCTGCCCTAGGACTTCGAGCCTCACTCGTAGCAGCTGCCCTACATCGATCTGGCCACGCTTTAAACCTTGTTCTGTTGCAAGACGCCGCTGATCGACCACAGCAGTCTACAAGTCGAAGCAGGGCTCCCGCCATACGCTTTGTAAAGGGTAGGAAAACCCATTTTCGAGTTTTCGGTTGCCGCGTGCAAAGAAAGTAGGTCATCAAAAGGTTCTGGGTTCGAGTCCCAGGAGGGAGGTCGGGTCGCTGTCCCCACCTTTGTGCTCTCCCTCTGGCGCAATGGATAGCGCGTTTGACTTCTACTCTTCAGCTTTTTGTCAAGGAGTGGAGACAATTGGTGGTGCCTGCCACCATTGAGAACAGGCTGCGCCTGGAATGCGGCGATGGACACGAGACGGTACAAGCGCCATGGTTGACTGCGCTGTCCCCTGATACGCTCTCAGATGTCAAAACGCATCTCAACCTCACCCCATGCCCATGTCGGATGCTTACAGACAGACAGGGCCACAAGCTTGCGCCCCCTCAGAAACCCATGCCGCAACATCACTCCTCCTCGGGCGTCTCCGGCGCCGCGGCGGCCTCTGGCGCCTCTGCCTCCGCCGCCTCCTTCTTGGCCTCGGCCTTGGCCCTGGAGGCCTCGGTGGGCACGGCGTAGAGCCGCAGCTGGGGCTTGTTGGGGTCCCGCACCAGCAGGTACGTGCCTGTGGGGGGCGGGTGGGGAGGTACATGTCGGAGGGGAGGGGGAATTGAGTAGGAAGCCTCGCACTCATGACCGTCGTCGCAACGAGGGGGACTCCACCTGGCCCCCTCCCACACACTGCAAAGAAGCCAAACCGGGAACCCACCATCCTCCTCCATGGTGTCGTAGCAGAGCTCCAGCAGGGCGCGCACGATACCCCACGCGTTGTCCATGCTCAGGTTCATCTGCGCGGCAAAGTCGGCGGGCTTGACCGACTGCGTGCCCAGCAGCAGGTGGGCCTCGCTGGACTTAGGGCTGGCGCGCGTGACGTAGCCCAGCTTGATCACGTCCACGCCCGCCATCAGCGCGGCGGCGGTCCACTTGGCCACCTTGGCCGCGTTGTTCTTCAGCTCGGTGGCCAGCGCCGCGCCGCGCTGGTTCTCCAGCTTGCTCCGCCAGTCGATGCCCGACCACTTGGGGTCGAACTCGTTGAAGGCGTGCACGGCGAGCAGGGCGGGGGCGGCCGCGGCCGCGGCGCCGCCCTCGGTGCTGCCCAGCGCGCCGTCCACGCCGCAGCGCACCACCAGGTCGATGTCGCCCAGCGCCCAGCGCCGGTAGCGGTACGCCTCGCCCGCGACGGGGGCCGGGGGCGCAGACCCCGGCGGCGGTGCGGGCCCCTCCAGCGACGCGCGCTCGCCGTCGGCGCGCAGGACCTGAGCGCGGAAGGCGGCGTGCACGGCCGTGGCCTCCGCGCTGAGCTGCTGCAGCCCGTCCAGCAGCTTGCGGTCCTCGGGGATGGGGTCGGGGCTGGTCTCGCCGTTGGTCACGTAGTCCAGGCTGCTCCCGGGCCGCTTGTCCAGGAAGAGCAGGTCGCCGCGGCGCGTGACCACCATGTCCCAGGGGTACACCGACCGCGGGCTGGCCATCAGCGTGGCCACCAGCTCGTCGGTGGCGAAGACGTGGCCCTGCTTGGCCGCCGCCAGCGCGCGCAGCACCGGGTCGGCCGAGGAGGTGGCGGGGCGGCGCGGCGGCGCGGCCGCGGGCGCGCGCGCCAGGCGCACTGCGGTGCGCGGCGTCACGCGGTCCGCGGCGCGGTCGTAGGGCGCCAGGCTGCCCGCCACCGCCAGGTCCTCGGGCTCCCCCACCCGGCTGCTCATCTTGTGCAGGGAGGTGAAGGGCACCGCGTCGCCCAGCACGCGCCACTCCGGCCGGATGTCCACCGAGCTGGAGTAGGTCACCTGGGGTGACGGTGGATGGGGGTGGGTGGTGGAGAAAAGGGGGATGGGTATGGGGGGGTCATGGTGGTGACACCAATGGTATGCAATATGAGGAGCGTCTGGGAGGCAGGTCCCACGCTCCACCCCCCCCACCCCCCCTCCTACACACCCTGTTCTGATCGCGCCAGTTGTTCCAGGGGCGGCCGCC